CTTCCGATAACTACCCACTGGTTTTAAGGGGAGAGAAAAAAAAACACAACTCTTTTAAAGATAACCCATTATCAAATAGTTTACTATGTTCCTACTAAGCAAGCGTATTTGATTGCTGTGAATAACCCCCGATTTAAGCGTTGCAATAGTTCACTATTGAATTTAAAAAAATCAAACAACAGAATAAAAGACTGAGAATATGGCAAAAAAGCACAAGGAATTAATGTATGAATTTTTACCTGGTACATGTTCCCAGTCAGTGCCTACTGGCATTTCATCTGTAATTCCAATTCGTACATGGACATTCCATTTGCTATCAATTGCCCACAACATCTGATCATTTGGACTTGAATGAATGCTGACCAAGTTGATTCCTACTGGCTATAAAAATTAAGCACAGCACTTAAACTTTGTACTACTGTATCTCTGAATACAAAACACTTCTTCCCTCACAAAAGTATGCAACAGAAGTAAAATATTTACCAGAGACTAAAGATGGGAAGAAACTTGACTAATTTTGTCATTGCGCAAAATTAGTAATTTTCCACAAAGTCAGCCTCTTCCTTAACAAAAAAAGGAAAGATCTGAAATTTCGAGTGGATGCCACTTGAAGTTACTTATATTCATATTTAATGTTCAGCATCTGAGTACAATATTTCTGAACATATATTAATATATTTGCTTAAGCATTGTTATACCAACCAGGTACAGTTTCAGTTGCAAGTTGAAGAGAGAACTCAGCATATCAGCTTGCAGTAGTACTGAACAAGATGGTAAGATGCTCTGAAATACGGCATCATCTTACAGAGAAGCACTGAATTCCTGGCTTTAGTCTCACAGGCATTAGCTGAATTTTCAGTATGATCAATACTAGATCAAACACTTTTGTCATGTATAAGCCTGGGAATTCATAAGCATAATCTACATGCTTATGTGAGCTCACAACCCAGTGCCTGATGCACTTTCCGTACAATGCACAATTCTGTACAATTGTACAATGTACAATTACCTGCTTTGTTTCCGCCTTTAAAATTCTTGTCCTGACACGGGGCTGACCCAACTATAACCAAGTTTGACTTACATCTCCAAATTAATGCCAACCATTAAGGCTATATGGCCTTTGACAGACTGTCTTCTCATGCTTGTGCTGCCATTATGTACTTGCCCTTCACTGGAAGCTTGAAGCTCATAGAGCCTTGAAGAAGTATTTGTCTCTGGTCACAGTAAACTCCCAGTGGCTGCAGTTTGAACAGTTACAATAAGCAGTATGACACTATTTTTTTTTTTTTTTTGGAGTGTGTTGGCTACATAAGAAGCGCTTAGCTATTTTCAGATTGTTATTTGGCTGTATGACAACTACAGTACTACAAACAAGCAGAACGCCTGTCTCTCCTACTCTGTCACAGGGGGACGTCATAGGGTGGGGAAGAAATTTACTCTCACCTCCCGTCTTGCTGCCTGTTCATGGAAAGTTATGTTCATCCTTGGCCCCGCTCCTGTTTTCCCCTCCCTTTTTTATTTGCCTCTTTCTACAGCTACTTCTTGCCCTGACTCCTTCCTACTTCACCCTACTCATCTTCCCGTACTATGGGAGCCTCACTATCGTGATGCTTCCAGTTTCATCACACCTCCCCCATAATTCTGCTGTTGTAGTCCCACGCTTCAAAGTAAAGGAGTGGTGCAATTAATAGGCTGTACAGATTGAACTACTGTATATAACAGACTGTCGCATTTTATTAGCTTAACTCCGCCCTTTTCCCCATAACACTCCTCTACTGCAGCAACTTCTTCAGATTTAGAAACTTTCCGCTACTCTTCCCTTATCTCCTTTATATCATGAGTCATCAGTACACCTGTGCTCCTTTTCCCCAGTACACTTCACATTCCAACTACACTCCTTCACAACCTGTGACAAAAAGCATGGTGTGACCCTTGTTACTGAATTGTTGGGGTTTGTGCACCTTGCTCCCTACTTCCCTGTCAGGATCCCATTCCCCTCTTCTTCCATCATCTTCCTAAGGGAATTCTTTTCTAGGCAAAACTGTAGCAGTATTTCCAACCAGAAAGACCTGTTGAGTGTTTACACCAGGTACCTGAGCCTGTGTGTTACTGCAGGATTATAGATAGTGGAAGCTAAGAAAGCAGATAATATCCCAAAGGAGTAATTGCATGAAGGCAGTTGTATAATGCCACAGCTAGATAGCTTCTTATACCAAAGTAGGCTCAGGTGGAATTAGAGCAGTTACCTCTACCCAATTCCACAGTTCTAATATATGTAAGAAACAAATGGAAATTATCAAGTTCAAAGATCTCTACAAGCTTGCCCCAAAGTTCCTCTCATTCTTTGTTTTTCTAGGTAAGCTCCTGTCTCTTCCTGAAGTTTTGCTGCTTCTCTAGGTGCTTCACTTTTGGCTTTTCTTCCTTTCTCAGGCTACTTAGCTCTTTCTGATATACTGTCATCAGCCATATAATCCTCCCGTTCACTCTCATTATACAGGATCCAGGCAGGACACTGAGGCCAGGGTCCAACGCTCTTAACAGAAAACACCCCACTGCACTGCAGCTTTCTGCCTCAGGAAACACAGAGTAAAGGACACGAATGACAGGACAGCTAGGGAAATGGTTATATACAGTAGCTTTGGAACAAAGCAGTGACAAAGTACTGGGAAGCAAGTAAAGGTAATGCTTAAAGCCTGTTGCAGAGGTTTTAAACACATTAGGTGGGTATCCAGAAAGTATAAAGTCATCTGTGACAAGATAGTCTCACGTCTATCACAGCAGGCGAATACAACTGATTTACAATTTTCTTGACTTCACATCATACAACCCCTTTTGGGACAATCATACCGGGAACACTCTCGCCTTCATTTTAGTGAGTTTTAATTACCATAAATGGACTTACAACATTTTATAATCTATGTCACAATAAACAGAACTCTACAGATGCACAGATATGTGTCTTTACTGCTGTAGGAAAACTCCATTTAATCTTTAAGTGTAAGTTAATAAGTCTGCTTGTTATATTTCAATGCCTGATAACCTTGAAAATCAATAAATTATTTCAGCGTAAGCTTTTCTCAGCTGGTTTAACTTCCAATAGCATTCACATACCTTGACTATGGAATATGTCACATGTGTAATTTACTGAAAAGCTTGGAAGTGTAAAGAGTAATATCAGTCTCAGCCTTCCTTGCCAGGAGGCATCATGATAAACTGTTTAACGGTTTATCCATGATATTCATCACTGAGAGCTGAACTTGTTATGAAATATTAATTCAGTGTTATCTGATAAAAAAACAGGAACACTGTTCTCCTTTTACATGTGGGGCAACCCAGAAAATTGTTAAAACTCAAAAAACCTCAGGAGAGGGTCTGTTTTAGCCAAGAACAGAACCCAGTTCCTTGCGTCCTCTGGTCTTGCACCTTAACTACAAGATCCTCAGTCTCCTTCTATCAACTGGTTTTGAGGACTTCCACTATGACCATGTCCTGCAACACAAGTCACCTGTATACTTTTCGACATTTAAACTGCATACTAAGAATTGTGAATATCTGTACTGTCTGCTACAAGTAAGAACACTGAAAAATATTTTGTTTGCTCACATCCAAGAATCTGAAGAGAAAATAGCGCTGATAAAATGAAGTAAATTTGAAGGAAGCACCTAACTGACCAACTCTTACGTGATATCAGGAAACAGTGTCTGTGCTAAATATATTTATCACCTTGTCCATTAGCTTTATAATACTGTGCAAGTCACTTATACTCTTCCTGCAAATCACAGAGAAAGAAGCTTCAGCATAAGAACTTTGTATAAACAAAGGAATCAAAATCTAATGTAAATCTAAAGCAAGCTATTTTCCCCCTGAACTACTACTTCAGTCACAGCTGAACCCAAACCACACTGGCTCAACTTCCCTGTCAACGAGGAAAGGCAGCACACACACACGCACGCACGCACGCTCAAAAGCGTCAGAACATTTTCCATGTCACTTCTCGGAACAGTAAAGAGTTCATGGTATCACCAGACCTCCACTATCTCTTCTCTGCTCCAAATATCCAGGATGAGGAAGACTAAACATAACATTCTCAGCCTGTCCAAGCCCTATTATTTTTATAGGGATTGGTGGCAACAAGCAGCATGAATGTTCTCCTCACCTTCAAGAGATAAATCTGAAATATCTTCAGCTCTTCCAGGCCAGGCTATGAGCATGTCAGATCAGAGAGATTTCTCACTATTGTAGAGCAATATCTGTAGATCAGGCCTTCCTGATTATTTTGACGGCTAGCAGACATCCAGAGCCTATTAACTAGCAAGATAAATAAAGAATATAACTTAAAGAGAGACTCCCTAACGTAGACCTAACTATTTGCACATTATTTTCCAAGTTCCATCTGAAAGAAGGTAATAAAGCACTTTCAGCATTACAGACATCAGGAAAGCATGAGGAGCAACCTAAGATCAGTATTGATCAGAATATTTTAAACTCAGACTTTCAGGAGCAGAACAAATCAGACGCTTACTCAGTTAAGTGTCCCCTTTTCCTTGGTAGGAAAGTTCAAGACAAAATAGAAGAGCAGGAAAGATTATATGTTTAGTTTTCTTGGAAGCCTCATGTTTTTCAGGAACATTGCCATAAAATTGTCAGAGAAAGATTATTTATTGACTGAAAGACTCCAGCACCATTTTCTCAGAAGCCTTAGAATTAAAACATGACTCTCTCCCACTTTTTGCCTTTAGAGAACAAATGGTCTTAGTTTGATACCTCCAGCCTAAGGCTAGTACAATTAAGAAGAGAAGCCAAAAAAACAAGGAATCAGTTTTCCTGATCTCTCCTTTGTCCATTCCGTATTTTTAATTCCAAGCACTTCTCTCACAGAAACATGCAAAAAATTACAACATATGGCTTCAAACCCTAGAAAAGGTCATGCCAAAGCCATGTGACTATTCAACACGATAAATCTCAGAGTCATAAAATACCTTCAGAATATTTAGTACAGCAACTGTTCCTGACAAGCCATTACAAAAAAGTTTAATGCAATTACTTTAAAGACCGTTCAAACTACAGGCCTGTTCTCTTGGCTTGTCCAAATATCTTCCGTTCCCGTTCTCTTATATCTAAGATCATAAACTGTTTATAAATCTACGTAATCTCCTATGCTACAGTTTATAGCTACCACTACAGGTGTTTTTTAACAAGATCCTAAAAAAATAAACTATTAGAATGACTGTTTTCAGAGACATGTATTTTAAGTATACACCACATGCAAGAACTTCCCATGAAACAGAACAGAATTTAGTATGAGGCAATAAAAAGCTTGTATAAGCAAGGCTCTCAGTAACAAGGACTTAAAAAACAAACAAACCAAACAAACTTATTTA